CGGTAAGTCGGATCGAGATGGAACGGGAGATATTTCGGCCGTGGTTTAGAATACGATCGTGTCGAAGGACGTATGCCTTGAATCAAGGATGTGGGAGATCGAGGCTCGGGATGGTCGGCTCGACGTACGGCGAGCTAGTTCAGCTTGGCTAGGTCGCCATATGGCGAACTAGGCGAAAAGAACCAGTGGGGCAAAGTCAACACCTCTTAGTTCGCCCATCGGTGAACTAGGGAGTAATCAACTAGTTCGCGTTTTACGCCTTTTGGTTTTTTGCGGTTTTGTAAAACGATTCTCGAGTTTTATAAAACGATCTTCGGATTTCATAAAACGACCTTCGAGTTTTATAAAACGATCTTCGAGTTTTATAAAACGATCTTCGAGTTTTATAAAACGATTTCTCGAGTTTTATAAAACGATTTCTCGAGCTTTATGAAACGATTTCTCGAGCTTTATAAAACGATTTCTCGAGTTTTATAAAACGATTTCTCGAGTTTATAAAACGATTTCTCGAGTTTTATAAACGATTCTCGAGTTTTATAAAACGATTTCTCGAGTTTTATAAAACGATTTCTCGAGTTTTATAAAACGATTTCTCGAGTTTTATAAAACGATTCTCGAGCTTTATAAAACGATTTCTCGAGTTTTATAAAACGATTTCTCGAGTTTTATAAAATGATTTCTCGAGTTTTATAAAACGATTCTCGAGTTTTATAAAACGATTCTCGAGTTTTATAAAACGATTTCTCGAGTTTTATAAAACGATTTTTCGAGTTTTATAAAACTATTCCTCGGGTTTTATAAAACTGTTCTTTTTGTATTTTTGCGGGGAGTTTTGGCTATTAATTCCGTCGTACCGATTTTGACCCCAACAGTTAGCCCCCCAGCTCGTAAGAATCGTGAGCCTTTAACATAAGGTTCTTGCGAGTGGTTAACCAGTTTTAGTTAAGTTAGGCAGAATTAATGGTCGGAAAGGTCCGTTGAAAGTGATCTTTCCACTCTCAAGGGAGCGGGAAGCGTTTAAGATTAGGGCTGCGCCTTGTGAAGGCTGCCTACGTACCCTTTTGAGGGGATTAAGCCTTTCATAGTTCGTTTCGGAGTTAAGGTTCGTATGACCTTTTTCCCGGCAAGACCTTTACGGTCTAGTTATATGTTTATCGAGCACAATGATGTCGATGGCAGCTTGACCTTTGCCGGCCTTGAGACTAGTCTCGTAGACCGTTTGATCTGGCACGAGCATGGCCGTTATAGTTTTCGGACTGGCCGTGTGCGGCTCTGAGTCCCTGCCGCTTTTGCGGCTTTATTAAAAATCAGTTTGCGTTTTTAAGAGCGTGCTTTTATTCGTATGAATGTAGCGGGAAGAAAATGCTCCCGAGTTTTATAAAACGCGATAAAACGATTTTTCGAGTTTTATAAAACGATTCGTTTTATAAAACAATTCTTCGAGTTTTATAAAACGATTCTCGAGTTTTATGAAACGATTCTCGAGTTTTATAAAGCAATTCTCGAGTTTTAATAAACGATTCTCGAGTTTTATAGAACGATTCTCGAGTTTTATAAAACGATTCTCGAGTTTTATAAAACGATTCTTCGAGTTTTATAAAACGATTCTCGAGTTTTATAAAACGATTCTCGAGTTTTATAAAACGATTCTCGAGTTTTATAAAACGATTCTCGAGTTTTATAAAACGATTCTCGAGTTTTATAAAACGATTCTTCGTGTTTTATAGAACAATTCTCGAGTTTTATAAAACGATTCTTCGAGTTTTATAAAACGATTCTCGAGTTTTATAAAACGATTCTCGAGCTTTATAAAACGATTCTCGAGTTTTATAAAACGATTCTTCGAGTTTTATAAAACGATTCTCGAGTTTTATAAAACGATTCTTCGAGTTTTATAAAACGGTTCTCGAGTTTTATAAAACGATTATCGAGTTTTA